TCCCAGTCTGAGCAAAATTCTTACACAGAGTTTTTCTTTAATAATTTAATTGTAATTACATTATTTAAAGATAATTTACATTGAATTTAATATTTTTTTTTAAATGTAGTGTAAGTATCTGAATTTGAATCGGTACCAGCCTCTTGTAATCCCTTCTACAGTGGAGCCTAATCTAGGACATAAAAAAGCAGCACAGGAAACCAGTCAGAGAAGGAGAGAGCAGAGTAACCAAAAGAAAAGCTCATCAGTCTACTGCTTCTCCTTTCACTGTGAAGTCAAGGGCTGGTCGAGGGACAAGATCTATAAGAGTAAGGCCTCATTCACAAGAGAAAAGGCCGGCACGTACAGCTCCGTGCTGCATGCACGCCCATATTGGGCAGCTCCCGGGAATGACAGGTACTGCGTGTGATTAGTACGCAGCCCCCGTCCTTCTCTATGAGAGTATGCGGCCGTTGGCCGCCCTGCGCTCACCCCAAGTGCAGGTCCGTACGGGTGCGGGTGTCCCAGCTCGGACGCAGAGAGGATCCACCCTGTCAGCGGACACCCACACGGACGTGCAGGGCAGGTGAGCGTAGGGCGGTGTACAGCCGCGTAGTCCCACAGAGAAGGACGGGGGCTGCGCACTAATCACACGCAGCACCTGTCCTTCCCGGGAGCTGTACGTGCCGGCCTTTTCTCGTGTGAATGAGGCCTAAGCAGCAAAAACTAAAATCAGGCTCTCAGAACTGGAGGAGCAGAATTACAAACCTTTTAGCAGGTAAGGCATATCAGTATTTTATCTTTGTATTTAGCCATTTGCATGGTGTTCAACCTCAAGTGTCTTTAAAGGAGAACTATGAGGTGAGTGCTTTTCACTCACCTCATAGTTCTACCCGACCTGTGACAATGAGACTGTCACAGGTCGGTTCAGTAGATCAGGAGGTGAGCGAACTGATACCGGCGTTCGCTCACCTCTCGATCCTGTCACGGCTCTCTGCCATGACAGGGGAGGGGCTGTACCCGCCCCCTCCCCGCTCCGATCCGCAAGTGCTGACTGGCGGAACGGACTGGGGAGGGGGCGGGTACAGCTGGCTCTGCCTCTAGATAGGCAGAGCCAGCTGTCAGTCACGCAGCTGGGCGGATCCCGGCACAATTGTCGGGATCCGCTTCAGCTGCGGCGTCTCAGTATACCGCGAGCAGCCGCTCACGGTATACTGCGGCGTCTCAGTATACCGCGAGCAGCCGCTCACGGTATACTGCGGCATCTCAGTATACCGCGAGCTACAGCTCGCAGCATACTGAGCCTAGGGTGACGGGAGGACGCTAGTTTGTGTCCTCCCGTTACCCTAAGGAGAACTATGGGGAAAAGCCTTAACCCCATAGTTCTCCTTTAAGG